AGCTGGCAGTTCTACGTAAGACTACGCAGGAGTTGTTGTTTTCTGAGGGGTCCGAACTAGAGATGTCACTGACTGACATGTCTGATGTTGAGGGCGTAGAACAATGACGTTATTGTGAGTGTTCAGTGTACTCTATCCGACATCTAACTTTGCACCAAAGCAGCTGAGCAAATCATTTCCAAAAATTGTGTTTTTTAAGACGTTCGGCAATTCTGAACTTGAATGTTTTATGAAACTTTGAGATCATTATGGGAAGAATCAGAAGTTAGCATCGTATATTCAAAAAAAGGATTGAACGGGAATATAGTCCTTTAGGCTCCAGGAATAGAAAACCGATTTAGTTTCCCTGACGGGTCGTAACACAGTTATATTTCTGGGCAGTAAATATATCCAGAATTATATAAATCTCCAGATGGCTTAAAACATCACGCCTCTAGAGCTTTCAAAAGGAAGTAGACCTTTCAAAAGTTTTCTAGATCTTTCAAACGAAAGTAGACCGTTCAAAAGTTTTCTAGACCTTTCAAAAAAGGGCGGAAAAGCACTAGAAGACACTTAAACCTCCTGGGAAACATCTCTCTCACCACGTGCCATCCGTTCCATCGGAGCCTGAACTATTCCTGGCATCCGAAGTACTATCCAATGCTACATTCAAAAAGTCGCCTGCAGCGTGTCACCACGTGCAATCTGCATCAGACAGTTTGCCCTACATTTTGATTGGTTTAGCCGTCCTTCGAACGATGGCGTACTCTCTTCTCAATGGTTAGCTATCTCATTGGTTGTGGTATGAGTTTTGGTGCAGATAAGCAACTAGAAAATAGAAGCTGTGTTTGACAAGATCCCGTCGACAAGTCGTCAGCCTTCAAGTTTTCCTCATAGATCATCTGGATCGTGAGCCAACCCATCCACAACCAATCCTTGAACGCTTGAGCTCGTATCAGACTCTGACAAACATGACTTCATCTGTACATACAGTTACTGAGGGAGAACTTCTTGCGCAAACCACGCAGGAAGCTGGACGTGAAATTAAGGTCCAGGGCTTACACAACACGTTAGAATGTCCAATAGAGAGAGTTCGTCAAATTTCATGATTGGCAAAGCATAGGAAATATTATGCGACATCTAACATCAAATATTAAATCGCTCAAGGTCGTGTAATGAGAGGAGATTTTTAGGAAATTTGGGATTCCCTGATCCGCAAGAATGTTACGAATCATGATGATATCCGTGTCATGTTCGTGCACGCTCTTAAAGTGGGGATTGTTTGACATAAATTCTCTAAATTTTTCCGGATCAAGCGCCTCCTCTCCCGGACATTCCTCTACGTCGGAGTCCAAAAACACTCTAGGTGTCTTCGGAATCTCTAATATCGATCTATCTATGTAAACAAAGGGTTATCCTCTTATAAACAATCGTTGTAATATCTAAGCCAAAAATACAAGTATGGCGTAAGCCTCTAACACAAATCATTATAGGCTCACGTTCAGTCAGAGACAGATGGTGCAAGACCACATCGCTGAACCGCTAAGGGCTGGAATAATCCGACCGAGTCGAAGTCCGTGGTCAAGCCAGTTGGTCATATTTGATAGGAAATGTAGAGAGAAAAGAAGTGTATTGCGTAGTGAAGTGAAGTGAAGTGTAGTGTAGTGTAGTGTAGTGTAGTGTGGTGTAGTGTGGTGTAGTACGCAGTGAAGGAAAATTGTGTAAATTACAGAAAATTGAACCAAGTAACCATGAAGAGCTGCTACCTACTTCTCTGCATCGATGGCATCCTTGCCTCGCTTGGAGGATCAAAGTATTTCACATGTTGGGCCTAAAAAGCGGTTATTGCCTACTTGCTATAAATCCTGATTCTGTTTACAAAACTGCTTTCACTTGTTTTCTAGGTTTTCACCACTTGCTTGCCCTCCCGTTTCGTCTGTGCACCGTCATAGGACTATTTTCTGATTTTATCAACAAAGTTTTGGCAGGTGTAACATAGATTTGCAACTGCGTACATTGATGGCATCATAATTTTTTCAAAAAAATCGAAGAACATCTTAGTCACATCAAAACGGTTTTTAAATACTTACGCAGTGTGGGCTGAAATTTCAATATGTGATGATGTGAATTTCTGAAACGGGAAATAAAATACTTCGGTCGTAAAAGTTGCGTAAGTGGGATCAAACCAGATCCTGGTGAAGGAGAAGAGACCTGAATTATCTCTTTGAGGTCGAAGGTGTTCGTTTATTGCTGGGTACGTCCTCGCATTATCGCTCATTCATTCCAAACTTTGCAAAAAATGTAAAACCTCTCACGAAACTATGAAAAGAATAACATTTTTTATATGAAGCGGGTCAAAAAGCGTTTGAAATCATTCCAGCTCCTGTGCTAGCTTACTCAGACACCTCAAGGGCATACAAAATTCACACCGATGCGTCGAGCCACGTCATTGGTGTTGCTGTTGTGCAAGACGCAAAACAAGGTCAAAAAGTGGTGCAGTATCTCTCCCAACAATCAAATGCTACACAACAACGATGGCCTGTCATCGAAAAAGAGGCATACACCACTGTTAACGGCATTCAAAAATTGAGATATTATCTTCTTGGCTCAATATTTACTGTCAGGACGGACCACAAACCCTTAAACACCTTGTTACCAGCGAAATAAGAAAAGAAAGAATCCAACGCTGGGCCATCACTCTCGACGAATATGGTTGCGATGTCCAGTACATTGCTGGCAAACAAAACGTTCTTGCTGACGCCTTCTCATGCCTCAAACCACCATCAGACGTTAAGATTATAGACCCCGACCAGACACCTAGGGTGTTGAACTCCGAAGTGGGGAAGCCCCCAGGAGAAGAGGTGCATCATTAGGAAAACATTTTCGAGAACTTCTGTCAAACAATCCCAACTTTGAGAGTCCGCAGGAAAATAACGCAGATATCATAATGATTCTTAATATTCTTGCGAATCAGGAGGATCCCAAATTTTCTGAAATATCCGTGAATTAAACGATCTTACATGATTTAGTATGCCGCATTACAGACTCTAAAAGGCGTGCCCCACTTCCTGGCATACAGCTAGTCATTCCCCGCAACCGCAGAAAAGGTGTGCCCCACTTCCTGGCTTACAGCTAGTCATTCCTCGCAGCCTCAAAAAAGGTGTGCCCCACCTCCTGGCTTACAGCTAGTCATTCCTCGCAGCCGCAAAAAAGGTGTGCCCCACTTCCCGGCGTACAGCTAGTCATTCCTCGCAGCCGCCAAAAAACCCACATTGAAGAAACGCATTCCGGACGTTTTAGTGGTCATCTAGGCACTTACAAAGCATATGATAAATTTCGCTCGCATCATTGCTGGTCTTGCATGTACCAATACGTAGTTCAGTATTTGAAAATCTGCATAGCCTGTGATATGCCAAAATTACGAAAAGAACGCCATCCTCTGCACAACATGCAGATTCGAAGTACCCATTCGAAATTATTGCAATAGACACATTTGGACCATTTCCGCAAAGCCATGATAGTAATCGGTGCTTCATTCACGGTATTGACATGTTTCCTGGTTGGCCTGAGTCATTTGCTACCGAATCAAAAAGTGCTAAGAGTTTGGCACAAATTCCTGTTAAGGATATTCCGCGTCACGCCTGCCCCGCGGCATTGTATGTCACAATTAGACTGATTTTTGTCATGCAGGAGTCGAACAAATTTCAACATTCTTCAATATTAGACACAGTTGCACTCCAGTCTACCATCCTCAAGCAAACGGCAAGTAAGAGCGATTTTACCATGTCCAAAGCGATCGGTTAGCAAAACTCATCAGCGCTTCACAAGAAGACTGGGACACCAAATTCCGGCAACTTTTGCGGCATCTAGGACAGCAAAAAACGATAGTGTAAGGTTAAGTCCGTTTTTCATCATGTATAATCGCGACCCAGTTCTCTCCGTGGACGCTCTCCTCTCCAAAGTGCTGATATCAAGGAGGTGAGTTTATCCCCACAATGCTGGAAATTCTCGCCGTTCTTATCACCAAGTTAAACGTAACCTGGCCTTAAGCCACGAGAAAAATTATTCGATCAAAAGGCAAAACCAGTAAAAGGTCAAGCTGGCGACACGACATATGTCAGGGATCCCTCGGTTGTTGTGAGCTTTTCATCAACACTTACCTGTCACTAGAAACCTTTACATCGCGTGTTAGAATCAATTAGCGATGTCACATTCCTAATAAAAAGGAATTGACAGACCAAACAAAGGAAATCACCGCACAAAACTTGCGCTTGGTTGATCTAGACACCCCATGGGAAAACGTGTCCAATGGGCCCGATCATGTCACTCAAAATTTCACAAGGATGCAGAGATGGTGCCTTCTCCTCGTGTTACCTCATGTTCCTCCGTTTCCCTCGCCAGGCGCCTCTCACTGTGCGTCCATGGCACAAGCTAAACTAGGGTGCACTCGACCTCGATCTTCTGCGGTCGGACTGGAGTCCAGTTTACCGGAATGAGGAAGTGGAGCTAAAGTGGCCGAAGTCATGCGCGTGTTGTGGACTGTGGTAGACGTGCATTGCCCTCTTAAACCACCGTCGTTCCACTGTCCATGGCTTGAGGACAGCCCTGACCTGCAACGGCCGATGCGGCAGCGCAGTGACGCGTACCGAATGTAGCACGATTTCGGAATAAAACCGACCTGTCGGCTCACCGACGCCTCAAGAACATCGTGAAAGGCTACGTTACGAGGTCGATGCGTGGCTATGCCGACAACACCATGCTGTTAGACTTCACTCATCTAGATCAACGATCTGTTTTGAAATCTGGACAGGAGGAAACCATCCAAGTGGTTCAGTCTTATGCCACGGCTGATTCCTTTACACTGAATCATACCAAAACGTTAATCAAAAATATTTTGTGACTAGTTGTAATTGATGAAAGCCACAAGCACTTCCGTTTGAGCATCTGTCGCTTTCTTGCTTATTGAGAGTTCGTACATATTACTTGAATGCGCGTCACCTTGTGTTCATTGCACTTTGCAGATGCGGCATCACCGCAATAGTGTTGATGGATGCTGGGTGCTACGCCGAAAAGTGGAACACCATCTTGGGAAGAGCCAAAGCGGAAACTGAGAAATGCGTGCTGGCTTCGGAGCGTTCTGTGCCAGTCTCCGAGAGTCCTGCGGCGGCCGCCAACACATCCGTGCGAGCCTCTGAAATCCCCCTGCGGGCCTTTGACCTCGAGCAGACGGACGCATGGTGCCATCCGGTACTTCTCAGATGCGTATTTGTTGAGGTGAGCGACATCAATCGGCTTGATCGAGCATTGAGCAAGTCGACTTCAGACCAGTGCCTCGAGCAAATTCATACCGAGGGGTGATTTGCGTATAAAAGCTGTTCGGAAAGAGATGTCCTCAGTTCGCTCTGTTGAGCTGTCGCGGATGTGATGACTATAACGAAACCGACGTGCATGCCCTGTCATTTCCCATAAGGTCTTAACTTATTATGATTTTTAGATCATGATACATTCAACTCTTAAGCTCGTATTCTCAAGCTGGACCACCCGCGCCCTTGCGCTTCATGTTTCAAATGTGGGCGTCCAGCACGCATAGTCGTGTGACACTTCTCGATATTGTGACTGGTGTCAGAGTTCATGAAAATGTGCGTGTGAACGCCTATTTAAACCAGGGGTGATTGCCCTCGGCTATTTCTTTGGCACTGAATGCGTTATGCAGGCTTTTTACTTACGGGTTTGAGTTCATATGAGCACAGCTGGCAGGATTGGCTTCAGCCCCACCAAACTCTGCACAGCTCCCCTATGTTTTGAATGGGAAGTCGTCTGCACCGATTCTTACCAGCCTACTAGTAAATGGGCGACAAACTGCCTGAGGCTACGCCACCCCGCCAGCATGCCAGTTTATATGTTTGATTAATATGATGCACTAATATGGGCTCCATTTAGGCACTTAGCCAGCAGTTTCGTCGACCGTGAAAATAAAACACACGGCGAAAGACCTCGAGAGCCAAGGCAGCTGAGAACATACCAGAATTCTTACAGTTGGCAGGCAACACTGGGGAATGACGTCCAACATGTGGGCGTTTTCGAGGTAATGTCCCGTATGGAAACCATGTGTACGCTCCGAGCTCTACCCCCAACCATCATGATACTCTCCACCATACTTAAGGCATACTCCAAGCCTAGTGCGACACATATTACCTAGTGGGTGCCTTTCGCTGCAACCCAGAATGTGTAAACACAGAGTAAAATTGGGTTTCTGTGCTGCCTGGAAAGGAAAAAAACAACATATCGCGTTCCGGGTTGTGCTCAGATTAAAGAGAAGGCGACTGCGCAGATGCTGGGCAGGGGGTGGCGGGGACGTTCCAGAAGAAGGATGCATTGGGGTCACGGAGAGACGAGATCATGGATCATGGCACTGTTTAAGAACACCAATTTCAGTTGTTCAATATTCTTCTCACGGCGAGGAAAAAACAAAACACAAAACAAAAACGATAATTTGCGGCTGGAGGCCGACTTTAGAAGACTGTCACGTGCTTTCACGAACCGAAGGTACCAGAAATTCCACAAGCGATCACAGGTTCCCCGTCGTGACCGGCGGAAGGGAGGGGGGGGGGGGGGGTGGGGGGGGGTCTGCGCAACCAGGTAAGTCCCTAAGCTGTCAGAGAGGGACCGCACCCTCAAGTCTCCTCAGTAACCAGAGGGGCCCTCATCGGCCAGCAGCGAGACAAGCACTGATAAGGAAAAACGGCATACGAGCCTACAAAGGTGAGCAACCAGAGGGGCCCCAAGCACACAGAAGGTCGAGAGATCAGTGCGGCCCGTGAACGAGTGTTGCCATTGGGGCTTTACGTCGCACGGGGCTTCTGAGCCTATATGTCGTAGAACATAACACAGTACAAGTAACAACATAACACTTATTACAACACGCGAAATCTCGTAGAGCACAATCCATTTGTCTTTGTTCTGTGAGGCCCTACCTTTCTTTGTTTGAAAATAACATTGGGTCTCGTCGCCCATTGATAAAAAACAAAATACCATAAGAATAAAAACTACCTGCGATAAAAACAGAGCAGAATAAATATGTTAAACGCATTTAGGGAAAGGGAATTGGGAGGCCCATGGCTCACTTCCCTCCCTTAAAATTGGTAAAACTTGACAGCCCTGGCATGGTGCCACAACCAGACACACTGCACTGTTTTCCGCTACCAGTGTGGTCCTCATTTAAGTCAGGCTACCGTCAAAGCGCTCACTTAATATAAATAGGGACTTCATTCCTGGTTGCATCAGAAAATATTTCACTTCAATGTTGGCAGATACACTGAGTGCTCACATAACATCACATAACAAATTTGCATCCATACACGTGATTGTGTAAATAAATTCTGCAGATGAGATATGAATGACGACTGCAAAATGAATGGCCTTCAGAGCTTTGCTTGTGCTGCTTTTTGTGCTAACAGCGGTGCTATCATTAGGAAGTAGCCAAAAATGCTCGCAGAGATAACCAAATGCAAATTCTTTTACTGAACTCCTTTGACAATAAGACCAAAATCCCACAAAATCGGCTCTTATTTGAATCAAGCGTCTTGGTTAAGGGGAGATGGCAATAGATCCTTAACTCTCCCTCCTCATTGCCTGCATTTCCTGCACCACCTAACTCGTCATTGCCTCCTTGGAGGAAGGAGAGCGTACATACCCTGATTCGAGGATTTATCTGACTGGTAACCATGCTCAGCCAGAACGAAATCAACCATGACATCAAATGGCCCTTCAGAAGAGTCCTTACCTCCTGTCATTCCCTTCCCTGCGGAGTGTCATCATACCCCAGTGTCGAACCCACGGCTCTCTTCAAAGCGGGAAGGCTCGGTGATTGCGGTGGCTACAGCCGGGAGTCGACAACCGTTTCGGTTGCTTTTCTGTGTCTTGAAAAGGCAGTCTGAATGATCACAGGTCAATTTCGACCTTGATTGGACCACCTCGTCGACTCTCCCCGAACCGTCGGTCAATAAAGACGACAAGGCCGAAAACCTAAACCTAGATAGGTATTCATCACCATGCAATGCGAATACCGCTTGCACAACCGCGGTGTGTTTGAAGTCACCGCCAACCTCACATAATTCAGCTGCATCGCAATGATTGAAAGATCCCTTTGCGGCCAGATAAACTGCCATATCTAAATTTTAGTATTCAGTATATAATTACCTAGTTTGGGACAATTAGAGTTGGCTGGTAAGAACAGAGAATCGGCCAACTTGCCGGGCCATACGAAATGCATTTATTGGTTGCCGACCTGTCGCCAAAGTGAGTGACTAACTAAAATCATAGGATATTTTGGTCGCCGGGTTGGGATTGAGCCTCAAAAAGATACCGAGGTGTTGTAGGGTGCGGTAAAGGGTCTTGACGTAAAGGCTTGCAAGCATTTGATGAAATGCATTACCGCTGAAGCCCCATGTAAGGTTGTGGAATGCGCACTGTAATGTTTTGTTGTGGCCGTCACCAAAACTTTCGGTCAAAAACATTTTTGGCAACAAGTGTCACGTGAAATAGGACATTTCTGTTACCACCCTTATCAACCAAGTCGGCAAGTTTTATCACCCATGGTCTCCATGCCCAGCATGCCTGGTCGCGTCGCTGCGAGGACTGCACGAGCCGTTCCTTGTCCCCGCCCGTCTGACCTGCGTGCATCTGACCTCGCCCATGCAGGTGCTGCGCAGACTGGGAGTGGCCGTGGTCCTGAGCTCCATGGAGACGGACGATGCGGCCGCGGAGCTAGCAGGCCGTCTGAACTGCCCCATCCTTAGCAATGATTCGGACTTCTTCCTGCTGGACGTGCCTTGTGTACGCATCACGCCAGAGCGCAGAGCAGAAATCTCACTTCGCTCGAGGGACAATATCGGCTACTCTATGAAGTTCTGTGTGTTCCGGTTACAGAGGTGAGCACTGATAACGCACCCGTCTATGTGAGTTACAGATATGGGCGCTGATATCTCATCTGCCTCTGTAAGTTACAAAGGTGAGCACTAAAATATCACTCGTCTTTGTGAGTCACAGAGATGAACGCTGGTATTTCACCAACCTCTGTGAGCTACAGAGGCGAGCGCTCATAGGTTCCCCGTCTCTGTGAGTTACAGAGGTGAGCGCTTGTATCTCACCCGTCTCTGTGAGTTACAGAGGTGAGCGCTTGCATCTCACCCGTCTCTGTGAGTTACAGAGGTGAGCGCCGGCTGCTCACCCGCCTGTGTAACTTACATGTGCCGGTACCAACCCGCCGAATGAGAAGGTCCGTCGCCACGTTGAGGGGGAGAATTCCATTTTGAGACGCTTTCCGCCGAACGCCTAGCTGAAATAAGGCCATGGGACCCACACAACTCACTTTGGCACATGAGCGCGTGCCTGCCAATTTGGCGTCTTGCGTGTCTTCCTACCAAATTTTCGGCCAAGCACATGAGCCGGACAATTGGAGATGGCTGCCTGTGACACTGCAGGCTTCTGGAGCACTGCGGTGTGGACTCGGCCATGCTCGGTCTCGTGGCCACGCTACCGGGTAACGACTACTTTCCGGGCGAGCTCTTCCACCCGTTCTTCGAGTGGCTGACGGAGTCGCAGGCCGGGCACACAGAGAGACGGTGGTGCACCCCGCAGCAGGAGCGACTCGACACCATGCTGGACTGGCTGGCCGGCCAGACATCGCTCCAGGCAGCACTGGACAAGGTATATATCCGATGGAGATGTGCTCCTTCTTGCAAGTGCATTGTTTTACGTTAGATTGACAAGTATTATTGTTAATAAGTTTGTTCACATAGGCGCATTATACATTTTCATGTCTCTTGCGTCATATTACGGGTTTGGAGACAAGCGAAAGCGCGCATATCACTATTCAAACACCATGCTATTTTTTGTTTGCTAATGCGGTTGCTGCATTTTTTTGCCGCATTTCCGTATGACTTCGTGACGTCATCGCGTAACGTCGACGAACCGCCCTCCGACCCATTTCTCAAGCTGTGATGATAGCCCCGTGGACTGTTCGGCTGTGAGCCGGCGGGCGGGCGATCCGAGTGGGCGATCTCGGCGCGCGCCTGGTGGTTGGCGGCGCGCTGTGTGTACCGGTCGCTGTGTTCGCCGTGCGCGTGGATGTACAGGCGTGCGTGTACATGCGTGAATTTTGTTTTCCAACATTCGTAATTTAAACGGGTTCACTTTCAGTCGCATCGCGAGTTTGTGCAACGCAACGTCGCGCTGTAAATCGCGGGACAAATTGCAAGATACCAAGGTTTTAATGACTGGCTGCTGTAATTCATTGCCTCCGACCGATTATGCCATCTCGCACCAAGTCGCGCTAGCGTTTTTGACGGGTTTTTGCGTGTACCGTTATATCTCGGCGCGCAAAGCACCTAGAGACAATCACATTTGAAGCGACCACATTTTCAGTGTGCATCGCGACTTTAGGCTGTTGCGCATTCGGCGAGTTCGGTGGGGGGGGGGGGGGGGAACTCAAGGATTAGGGGAAGTGGGATGAAAGGTAGGACGAAGGAGAGGAGAAAGGAAAAGAGGTGGCGTAGGTGACAAGGCAACTCCCAGGCGCCAAATTTTTATATGTTCCAGTCCACAAAGTCATCTGCATCACCTTGGTTTTGCTGTTTGAAATCGTGTGTATGACTGGCAGGTATCGGACCCTGACGCGGCCGGGGATTTCAACTGAGTTCTCCGGCACAGGCTACTAACTGAATTCGAGTTTGTTTGTTGTTCGCGGGCAGGTACGGGGGCGGGCTTTGCAGTTGCCGACGGCAGCAGGCAGTGATACTGCGCCGGCAACAGAGACACTCGGCCGCAGGGCGAGTCTGCGGCGACGCAATCCTGTGCAAACGAGACGATCCTGGCAGTCTCGCCCTTTGACAATTGCAATGAACGCTCTTCCCGTTGCAGGAAGCATACACGACCACACATCAACCCTGCACGCGATTCATTTACAGGATAGGCATTTAGTCATAGCTCCAACGCAGTTGGAACTAAAGTCGACTTGGCATTATGGCATGACTTTGATGTAGACTGATCTTAGTGACCGGACATAATGTTTACATTACGTTTAAACTGTTATGTAGAAGGTATGCTGCCATCCTATCGACATGGTGGCACAGTATCAGTAGCTTTATTTCTCAAAGAACAAAAAGGAAAATGAAGAGATGAATGTGATGCTTCGGCTATATGCGTTCATCGAAAAGAGTATCGGTAGCGAATTCAAAGTCGCGTTGAGTTATATGCATTCAAAGCCGATTCGACTCGACTTTTAAGTTGTTTTTTTTTTCTCATAAACAGCTAGCCACAGCATTTACAGACCACCAACGTGCAGGGTATTAAACAAGGAGCAGTCGCCATTAATTTCTGCGATACAATGCACATCTCACTGACAATCAAAATGCGCGAAAAAATACGTGCATGTGCAAATGAATTCAAGTTAACAGGCATCCGGCATAACACATCATTTACCTCCATAAGCGATTTCAAGTAAACAGGCATCTCGCATCACACATCACTTTTACATGGAAGCGATTTCAGTTAAACAGACATCGTGTATCAAGCGTCAGTGCAACACTGATACATGAAAGCGATTTCAACCCAGCATGAATAACGCATCAGGACACTAGTCACATTCACATAATTTCTCATGATGAGTCCTTTACATCAAATTCTGGTCGCCAGCTTCGTATAAAAACAGATTTACCGTTTTTTTCTGTCTGGATGGTCCCGTGCTTTGGAAGATAACTTTCAGCTCAAAAAGGGTTAAAGGGTTCGTACTTACCTGGATTTTAACCTCAGCGTGTTCTGTCAAAAAGATGGTCGCCGAAAGGGTTCGTTTTGATTATCTGTTTCGCTTTTAGCATCTCGCAGGTGTTCATTACAACTGAAACGAGTAGGGCGCATGGACTTCCAACACAGACTATGTACGCCATGTTTTTAGCACAATTTACACTTAAATCCGTAAACCACATTTCTTCGCGTGCAAACCCCCTAAAACCCAGACATGCATATATGTCACCAATCGCACCCCGGGCACTTAGGCTTCGATATAAGATATGTAACTAGAAAGTTATTTAGCTCCTTGTTCTTTTAAGCTATGCGTACGCGCAGTTTTAATTTTCTAAAGATATGTTGAATTTTCGAGGGCAAGTGTTCGTCTATGTCAGGTAGTGTTAAGCCAATTTATTCATCCCATTCACGTTTTACAATGGACCATACAGAAAGGGGGTCCGCATTTTGATACACTAGTGACGGTAGAAAAGAGGAACAACCGCACAACGTTAGAAACGTAGCTGTGATCAAGCCCACCAACTCTGGTATAATTCTGCACTGCAAATCTGCGCATCCGACTTCCACTAAGCACAACATGATACAAAACACGCTCCATATGGCTCTAAGCAACTTATCCAGCGGTGAAAAAGACGGAAGGAGCACAAAAAATATGGACATAGCTGTTGGGCAATGGACATTCTCTACGACATTTAGGTTGAATGTTAGAAGAGGTCAAAACATGTAGAGCACGTAGGGGATGTGTGGTAGGAAGCGGGAACACGCCGAGCATACCAGAATTTGCTTCGGTTTGCAGGTGCTGGAAACACTGCCTGAGGAGAAGCGTGAACACGTAGCGGACTACGTGACTACGTTCAACAAAAGCTCTAGGGATGAGCAGAACCTCCAGTTTCTGCAGGACGGCGCCCAGGCTCTTTACGACCGGCTGAAGCGCTCCTCCGAGCCGGGCGTGGATAATGGCGTGTCCCAGTCAGCCGCCTCGCCAGACCAGACGCCTTGGTCGCCCCCCGGCATGCGCCTGGCGCTAGGACGTGTTGACCCTCTGTTCTGCGCCGGAAACAGCGTAGCCGGCGTACCCTGTATACTGAAGCCGATGGTGGAAGACCCGAGCCTGCCGGCCACGGCGATGGCGGCCGTACCGCTGCTGGTGCGGCGGGCGGCACTGCTCGGGGCGCCGCCGGGGCCGCTGCTCTTATACGCTCGCCACAGCCGCAAGCTGCGCTGCAGCACGGCCACCGTCGACTGGCGGGCGCCGCTGCTGGAGCGTGCGCTGCTCGGTGACCGCGCCTCCCGGCAGCGCGTGGCCCTGGCGACACTGGGACTGCGGCCGACGGCGCTGGACGCCGTGCCGCCGCTTTTGCAGCTGTTGGCCGCCTCGCTGGTCAACTGGCGCCGCGCCACGGCCAGCCGCAGCCGCCGCGATCATGTGCGCGCCGTGCTGCTCAGCTGCCTGGCGCTGGCGCCGGCCGAGACGCCGGCCGCGGAGCTGGGGCTGGCGTCGGAGCAGGCGGCCGCCTGTCGGCAGCGCCTGGCCAGGCACCGCCAGCCGCGGCCCGCAAGGTTCCACCTAGCCGCCACGCACCTGCACTACGAGCTGCAGTACGTGCACCTGATGGCAATTAGCATCAACGCGCTGCTGAACAAGCCGCTGCCGACGCTTGAGGTCGCCTGCACACTGAATGGCCCGTTGGCCATGAATCTGGGCTTCGGGCCGCCGGACGAAGGTGAGTGCTCGCCTCTTGACTGTCACTTCCCTCGCTTGGTGATAACAATGTTTTCTGCAGTGCAAATCGATGCAAAAATGGTTTGGATTCACATATTATCATTTTGAAAATTGAAGAAAAAGGCTGGCGTGATGTCCTCCCCCAAAGTGTATCACAACAACTGTGAAGTGCGACAGTTTAGAGCGGTTTGTTAATCTCGTCTCTCCAAACGTAGATCGTCAATTAGTTTTGCCGACTAGATGACCGAGTGCCGCGTTCGAAAAGTTTTGTCGGTTCGTAAAATTCAAAAGGAAAGGCGTATAGTACTGGCTGGGCCGCACTCTCCGCGGCTCGCTGGCTTTGAGGCGCCACTGGGACTCTCCCAACCACCAAGGTGTTATGTGTCTATGGTGTCCTGGTCCTCTTCGACTTAACACTGCCTCTGGGCTATTTTCATAGTGGAAAGAAACAAGCAGGACTCTCGCAAGGATTTCTCACACGAAGTTCAGAATATGGGGTGTGCTTAAAATCTTCGAAAGTCATTTTTGTCCTGTGTGATGATCGTGGTCCAAGCATTTGCAATCCCCGCTACTTAACTCTGCAGTCCGGAATCCAATCATCAGCGGGAAGTAGTACTCGCACACGCTCATTCCCCTCTGGCCTGGACAAATCGGTTAAAATCCTGGACGGTTAAGGCGATGGCATGGCAGAATGGACCTGTAGCTTGGTAGCAGCGTTATACTTGTTGGCAACGAACACTAAGTGTGCGAATGGGAGATTTTATACTAAGCTGACCGAGGAATTGGAACCTTTAAGCTGGCGGTTCATGTGAACAATTTGGCTGTCGTCATCGAGGCCTTTCAGCGTACTCAGCTGCCGAGGTTGTGTGGCATTGCCTGTCTTGTACCATAGCAGGATGGGCAGTTACCGCGTGGACCCGAACTCCGTACCCCTTGTTTACGCTACCGATACTCCTCAACATTTTTCATCCATCGACATACCAAGCGTCGAATGTCAAGCTTCCATGAAGATCAGAATAACCACGCATCTCCTCTTTTCTCCATTCTCAGAGTATGCTGTGGCCACGTGATTTTCGTAAACATGATATCGATGCAACAATGATGTTGCTAGTGATGGCTATGTTGGTGAAGGTGATGAGGGTGGTAGCGGCACCCTGTAATGAAGGTGATTGTGTTTGCGGACTTCAGGTGTGGACCATGGCTGGCCCGCCGATCTGATCGAGGACACCGAAGTGAACCACCTGCTGGACACTGTGACGGCCGTCATCGAGTCGGAGGTCGCCAAAGAGACCGGTGCGGCGAGTCGCCCTGCAGGTAAGTGCGGCGCGCTGCGACCATGCTGTCATCTGCAATAGCGGCTTTCAGACCACCCCCAGAGACGTGACTTCGCGACGTCACCACGCGTTTTCACATTCCCTGGTGGCATCGCCTCGCCATGAACCGCACTGGCGGCGCCCGTCCTCACGTGCTGACGCGCCTCACGCCCTGACAGGGTACGCGCCGTCCCGGACCGCCGGAGCGGATGACCAGGGGAGACAGTGCACGCAGTCGGGGATGGAAACCGCCGATGCTCAGGCTGGCGCGGCCTCAGAAGACTGCTGCCGTCCTGTGGCGGAGAGCCAGGTGTTGGAGGTTTGTCCACAACCACAGTGACATGAATATAGTGATGTTCGCCATACGCTCGGTTTACAGTTCCTTTCGCCTATAGCGAGCGCCTCAACTTATGTGTATCGAAACGACTGAGGCTTGTATTGACATCGCCCCCGTGACGTATGCCGCAAACCGAAGACAAATGCGATGTTAATGATCTCGCACAGCCTGCTGACACCGAGCCAGCCCGTGCTGAGACAGGGTCAGGGGGTCGTCGCGACGGCGACCGTCGGCAGAGGCGGCCTGCACGTGGCCGACGCGCCATGGAGGCTGCTCCGTCCGGAAACTGCAGCTGATCTGCACCCGGACCTCCGTACCGTCCGGAGGGTGACCGCCGTCCTCAACAAAGTTCCGCTCAACGGCCGATATGCCGCCACCAAGAGAAGACTGCGAGAGATGCTGGGGAAGGTGCAGGTGGAGACGGAGCTGGGCCTCTACACGCTGGTGGCTGCCGTGCATGACAGGGCCGTGTCAGACGCACGCAGCGCCAGGATATGCGCCCTGACGTGCATCATCCTGGCCAACCTGCAGGTACATTGGCATTGATTTTGTACGCCATGGACGTGGGAACTGGGGCTCCGTCAATGCCATGGCACCTTCCTTCTCCGAGAATGCTGGGCATTAACCTAAGGGCGGCATATGGAAATAATCACTTTTAAATTCGTATTTGCACCCTGCTTTTTCTAAGACGCTCCCACGCCCATGTTGCACGTCTCCGTGTTAAGCGTCGTTTTGAAATATGCAAAACTTGGCAATTTTTTTCGCTTTCACTTAGCGTGAAATAACATTTACAAAATAAAACGTCTCAGTTTTACCACTTGAAATATGTTGAGGCATTGAGACATCCCCAGGTTCGTCGTAAAATCGACCTCTTGTGTTGAATTCCCCTACACCCCACATTTTGTGAAGCACACCAAATGGTTCCTGGCATGTGTCCTGAAATCATATCATATCATCTGTTCATGAGACGTTACCATAGTTGGCGCAAGTACAACTGCTGGCAGAGGATTGATTGCTGTGGTAACCAATGGAGTGGAGATAAGCCTCCACGACAAAACTAGCATCCCGCATGCCGTCACGGGTTGGGCGGGAACATAAACATCGAGGTTCATGTGGGGGTTGTCACCAACGGGCCAGCGGCCACTAGATCAACGTTTTGATAAACGTGTCAGTTGAGATCGTTTTCGTCGAAGGTAGCTTTCAGACCGTCATAACTGAGTCTTAATGATGAATATTTTGCAGATAATTGCTTTGCACCTGTCCTCGGGAATGAGGCGATGCAGGCCGCAAGTCTAGCAGACCTGTTAATGTGCATTGCCTTAGCTAAGCTTCGGCCGACTCATGCCGCAGAGACTCCGCAGCAAATGTAAAACAGCCCTACGCCTGTCTCCCACAAAATACGAATGGTCCGATCAGTCCCCATCACCCTCGCTCTGATTCACTGTTTTTCATAACATGGACTAATGGAGGTTGACATCACCACCCAGCGTTTCTAAATTAATAAAGATGAACGTGGTAAAAAGAAAAACAAACACCAATGGCATGACCTCCACAAGATTTCGCGATTGGTACCAGCTTTCATGTTGTTAGTTGAATAACTGACCCAATTATGGCAAGTCGGTCCCCTTCTCAGCTTTACATCATGCCTACAAAGACCTTGCCTTGTGGGAACACCAAACTTGAACAGACACGTTCCTTGTTTAATTGTTAGTATAGTGGTGTTTATTTGTATGTGTTCTGATTACACACTTATGATATCATGTATGCAATAGATAGCGCTAGTGTTGTTGGTGGGCTTCGTGGGCTCATGGTTTTCCTAAATACTTACATCCTGCCTCTCGAAGGGTTCTGCGTGCTGGAAAGTAAACTATGCTTGCATAGCTCAAAATATCTTAACATCTTGCATGCGAATACCATTCTTTTCTTTGGTTGGTCACCAAAACATATTTTGGGCACAATGATCTGCTTTTCTAGTCTAAACGCCAAATGATGTTCTGTCAATGTATTCGTCACCTACACTTGTGAACCTGATAAGTTTGATGTTGAAGTTGAAATTTGACTGTTTTCTTGGCATGATTGACGCTTTTTTCCCTCCGACATTGGCTAAATATTAAACGTGTGACATCGACGTGTGATATTTCGAACACACCATCAACATTAGGCGAGCATCTTGGTGAAAGAATAACTCGCCCCGCAAAGCGACAATTCTGTTCATGTATAAGATGCAGGCCATGTGAAGAAAAATTGCAATCTCAAGTAAACTAATAATTTCAGCGCGTATGTTGCGATGTACCGAATGTAAGCAGCATGTACAATAGAGCTACTACACATGCATGCAACACGGTACCAGATAAAAATATAGTGACGGCATAAAAGAGGCGGAGGCAGCAGCAGTGATACCGAAAGAGTCGTAGCAGTGGACGAGCAACGCATCATATCGTCGGCATCAAACCGCATCGGAGCCTTTGCGTCCAGGCCCGCTGATAGTAGTACGATGTGGTCAGGAAAGCGGGACCTACCGTCGTCGCAGCCAAACCACGCGTCCCAGAAACGCGCTGACGAGCTCCAGGACGCATGCCCGGACTTCGAGCATGAACAGCCCCCCCCCCCCCCCTCCCCCCTCCATCCAACCTGCGGAACAGCGAGAAGCTGGGTTGGTTGGCACGAAACTGCCACTGCTGATCAGATGGGTACACCTTAACTAATCAGTGGCAGCTCTTCTTTTAAAGCACTTGATGAATGAATGCCCTAGATGATGAGGACAATGCCCAGATGGTGACACGCGTAATGCACGCCCCAGACAACACAGAAAACTTGGGCACAATTGCACAAAGGGCCGAAACGATATACTCAAAACACCTTAAGGAGTGGGAAGGAGCCTGGACGGTATTCCTCACCTCATCAATCCTCTTGTCAAGGGAGGCTTAATTAGTTTCAGAGCACATGAAATGGAAAGCGTGCATAAGCCCTAGCCATGCATCCGCCTGGATAGCCAGCTTCCGGTTCAGCGCCTAAGCGGTCCCAGGGGACCGACACCGTCTGTGGTAGTGCTTCATTCTGCGTTGTTCACGTCGGGCTCGCGCGTAGGATCCCTCGCGGGATGAAGTAATGGAAACTTCAAATCGCTTCCAGCACCCTTTTGCAATAAATCGCCTCGAACAAACCCGAGCTTTCAACACGCGATCGGATGGGGGTTAAATTGACCCCCGAAGTTTTTCCAAAATGGTTTCCGAACGGCACGGCGCAGTTGCAACAAACTTCGCAAGGCGGTAGACAACTGAACAGCGTATCGTTTGATACCGAAAAATTTAGATGTTCCTTGTAAGGTCGCTGATCTACGGCAAGTCAAAGTCAGACCATGGATTCTGTGAAGTCATTTCTAGGGAATCGGTTAACCTGATGCAACAACGGAGTGTTAGACGAGACCACACATATCTGAGCTACTTTCTGAGGCAGCACAACAATTGAGTGAACAGGTTCCATTGATCTAAGGCGAGTTTTGAAGGTCAGACCAAAGTCAAAGCTAGCCTGTCTTAGTACGGTAGGGGCTGCTGTGTCGTATAGTTTCTGGTGCTCAATTTGCATTGTTTTATAATAGAAACCGCATTATGCATCTTTCATACACTTTTCAAAGGTCAGAATAAGCCGCTGACCTAAAATGACCCAGGTCAACGTTTTGCTTTTAGGAACACACTGCCTAGCGTTATCTTTGTCGATTATTCAAAAGCAAGGCTGAAAGCAGTCTTGTATGATTTTGGTCACTATGATCTTTAAAAGATAAAAACGCACTGACATTAAATGATCATGTGACGTTTCGCTTAGAACAGGTATCTAGGTTCTGTTGGCACTTTGAACACCAACCTGGAGATTGACCTTGTGTGATCTTGCTTGACCCCGAGTTTTTGACCTGGGTACCTCAAACTTTGACCTGAGTGAGTTCAGGTACAGGCCAACAAACTGTTAATTTTGTGTCTCTAGCTTTCTTAGGTCCTAAGATCTCAGGGGGATGTCAAACTGACCCCCCACCCGAGCGAAGGGTGTCCAGTCGGCCGCCCGGGCGCGTGTTAAAATCTTGAGCATGCACGTTATGCAGGAAGGCACGAAAACATGCCGTGCTGGGCGCCTTGTCTCGATTTCATTGATAAGTAATAACGCGGCAGTGACCGCTGTATTCTCGCTTCACGGTGCACCGCGACACGAGTCCGCGCAGGAGATCTTGAGCCATGTGAATCAGCTAGAAATAGCACTTTTACGCCTTAAACTGTATTCCGCGAACTTATGGCGTGCTAAAAGGTTGTGGAGACCTGTGCCCGTGACCATGACAACGGCAACAACAACAATGAACTTTGTAGAGGTAGCAACTTTACCACTTCTGGAATGTTTGCCACTTGTGTTTTTTATATCACTGCTGCGGACGTTTGGAATACCTTTTTTTGTACCACAGGTGTCTGCAGGCTTCTGCGCAGCTTGGGTGACATGAATTTTCCCTACTGCCCGGATCCTTTCCACCCTACGTGACCGCGCGGGCTACGGCGGCAGACCTGGCGTTATTAACCGGTTTCCAGTAGAAACGAATTTGTGGCAAAAGTTTTCAGTTTTGGCGTATCTCTTTTAAAACTATTATTAAAAGGTTGTCTTTGCCATTGGTGACCATCAACATCAAGAGCAGCGTCTGCTCGGCGTTCTATAGATACCTTCATTGTGCTTATATATTACCTTGATTTTTCACCCTTTTCTATCATTTCGTTCACTCCTTCACTAAATTTATAACAGGCCTGTGAATTTTGCTCTCTGACCTTGCACGTTGCTGGCCTGTACCTGTTGGGCATAATTCACAACAATACATACAGCACACTCATGACTTGGGATGTCCTTCTTCTGGTATTCCGTGGTTCGGTCGGCCTGTTTGTCGTGCGGTGATGCGTCTCTGACATGCCTACTGGTTCGCTGGCAGGTAGCCGTCGAGTTGAGACCGGCAGAAAGATCACCTTGTGAGATGCTGCCTGACGTCGTCCTACGTTTGTCAAGGAAGACAGAGAGATGCAGCGCAGCCGACGACTTATGGAGCTTCAGGAAGAAGAGAACATCACCATCCGGAGACAGAATTCACGATCTCAGAGTCGAGAAGGGCGAGGCTCACCGCCGCGCCATGAACAACATT